AACAACAGTTCTCTTTACTTTTATAATATCATCTCATTTGTACTGAGATAACAAATTTCCTAATCTCCAGAATTTTAATCACTGAAAGTGTGTTTCCTAGCCAAGCACAGTGGCACAAGCCTATGATACCAGCTATTCAGGAGGCTGAGTCAGGAAGATGACAAATTCAAGGCCAAGCTCAGAAAGTTAGCAAGACCCTTTCTCAAAATGTAAATAAACACACACATACATACATACATATATACAAAGGTCTGGGAAGTAGAGTAGTTTGGTAGTAGAATGCCTCTAGGTTCAATACCAGTAATACACACACACAAACACAAAGTGTTTTCTAGAACCCAAATGTGAAAAGCCAAGAATCAACCCATAAAAATAGTTACAGATAAAAAGTCTGGAGAGCAAAAGAGTCTATACCTGACTCAGTAAGTCAGGAGTTAGGAATCCTGGTTTCCACATATTAATTGTTCTCTGCCATAAAACCTATAAGCATCATATGCACGCTATGCTGCACTGGGCTTAAGCAGCACATGGATTTTGGTTTCTCATGAAAAATTCTGTTCTTCCAAACTATGGCTGTGTGTCCAAATGGCAGTTAATAAATCACACATACGTAAATTTCTTCAATACTAAGATATGCGTGACTATGCTAGTAGAACTGAAGTGTCATTCAGTTATAATAGACAATTCAAACTATTAACTAGTGATTGGAGAAAAACAGCTAGGTTAGGTAAGGAAAGAATACAGGTACGTCAGGAATTCAAATAATGTTTTAAATTAGTTGGTGAGAATCAATTGATACAATGTGAAAACACTTTTAAACTCGAATGTTTTATATGCAGATGCAAATTCTAGTAACATTTATCATCATAGATGCATGTATTCTTTTAAAGATATTAATGAACTTATAATCTTGAAAGATTTTTTTAAATACCATTAAATTACTTCAAGTCTTTTGCATATAAAATGAAGGTAGTACAATCTATGTCACTCCAAATGTAAGCACTAATTAGTGCTTTCAATTTTATAGATAAAAATCTTGAACAAATGTAAAAATATGTAACATACCTGAAGATAATTATATCTTTGGCTAAGTCTTATGATGGGAAGACTCTTAAAATGGCTCAAAAATATTAAGCCATGTCTTATTAAAAGTTTCTAAACCATAATTTCAATATATAAAATTTAATATTAACAAAAACTATTTAAAGATACACAACACACACAGAGACAGACACATCCTTGATGCCAACAATTCACCAGGATCACCAAAAATGAAAGGACATTTGCAATTATTTAAATTATAACTTTAAGATAAATTGCAAGCAGCAAATCTATTATCAATAACAGCCAACTAGAAAACAGAAAATAAGGAAAAATGCCCAAATCAAACTTCAGACACAATCACAATTTCAAAACTCTCCACCATTACTTAAAATTCTGGAAAACTAATTTAGATTGCTTTCTTTTGAATGCCATATTCACAAAACTTAGTTCAATATGAACTTGCAAACATTTCATGTACAGACTCATTTTTTTAAAGGTACTTCTGATCTAGATATGTCAATACATACCTACTGGTAACTTTAACAAAAAATTACCTTCCCTTTTATTCCAAATTAGGAGTAAAAAATGCATCAAATGAATTTTTTAAAAAGTGGGGGGGGGTCCCCCTGGGAGAGATAATAGTAAAAGTAGTAATTTAGTGTTAAAGATGCAAAATTTATCCTTTCCTTAATAGTTTTCTGGATTAATCAAGCTAAGACTGCAATGAATTCAAAGTATATAATATGAACAAACAGGCAGGGTTTTTGTTTTATATATGAAGTACATAAAGTTATACAATTCTGATCAAATGTTGATATCCCTGTTTACAATCTTTCACCACTTCATTATGAATTTTTATTCTTTCATTTTCATACCCAAGTATTCCTTAAGTTTGAAGTATTGCTATATAATTTAATGAGCCATATATATCAAAATTATGCTATTTATTAATACTGAGCCCTAAATTTCAATACAAAACATGTAGCTAAATCAAAGACCACACTCTATAAATTCATTGCTCTAATAACAGCACTTTTAAAAATATTTACCAAGAAAAAATAATCCATCTTTTGCACAATTAAGCCACTCAAATTTAGAGGTCAGATATGTACTAATTTTAATCTACAACTGATGAATCTAGCAATTAATAATGCACACACACACAGTTCTTAGCCACTGTACTTCTGTTCCTTCTGTTCAAATTCTCACTCAACCCTGCCCCTTATTTCTTTACAAAGAAATTCACAGGTAGAGAACAGATTTAAGACAGAATATCAAAAAGTAATATCCCGTGAAAATATGCATCTAAGTATGACAAAATATCTAAAAGCATGATATACAAATTACATGAAACACAAAAAGTATACATAATGTTCAAATAATAATAGCAAAATTATCTGTGTATATAAATTTTTAACAATGTATAAGGAGAGTAGGTGTGGTAAAGGACACATATAATTGTAGCTACTAGGGAAGTTGAGGTAGGAGTACTACAAGTTCCAGGTCAGCCTAGACAAACTGTCTCAAATGAAAAAAGGGCTAGAGATGTATCTCAGTGCTTTCCTAGCATGTATGAGGCCCCAGGTTCAATGCCTAGTACCGAAAAAACCAATGTATAAAGAAGGGCTGGTAGAGTAGCTCAAATGGTAGAACACTTGCTTAGCTTGTGCAAGGTCCTAGCAATCAATCCCTAACACAGAAAAAAAAGCATAAGGAAATATTAAAATAAAAAAGAATCAGTAAATAAAAAATACAAAATTTAAAAAAAATCAAGGTTAAAGTATATCCTTTATAAATGGGTTAACAAGAATTCAAAATAATTGGTTAAAGGTTAAGCCTCACTCATAATAAAAATAAGGTCATTTAAATCAACTAGGGTCCATTATCACCTATTAAAGCCACCAAAAGACTAAAAAATCATAATGAAAACTCACATTAAGTTGCTAGAAGTGGACATTAAAAATTAGTACAGTTACAGTCTTCTGTAGATTAATCTTATAACATATGACAAAAGCATTTTAAACTGATAAGCCCCTTGACCTGATAAATCTACTTTAAAGTCTAAGAAAATAACTCAAGGGAAGCAGGGTGCAGAAAAAATACACCTAGCCAGGAAAAAACATAAGTGAAAAAGTAGAAGCAACAAATGCTCAACTGGAAGATGGGATCAAAATATAATATCTTAAATACAACTGAATTTTCTCTTACCATTAAAAAATGATGACTATTTAATTACACAGGTTAAGTATGTGCAAAAAATATAAAGCATAAAATATACAGAGAAATATAAAGCATGAAATGAACATTGGTTACAGTTTTGTAAAACTTTGCCTTTACAATATAAACAAAAGGAAATATCTAGTAAGCTGACTTTTTTACTTAAATATCCCATCAAGTTAATTTTTAAAAAAAGTCTTTTTAAGTCTCCTTTTCCACTTGCTTAAAAAAGACTAACCTGTATACACATACAGACTGTAAGAGGCACAAAGGTAAAGAAAAACATTTTCAATATACTTCAACTTTAAAACTGTTTTTAAAGCAGTATTGGTAATTATATGTTAAAACATATATTAGTAGGCACTGTTGTTTTTGCCTTTTGATGGACAGGCATAACTTAAGTCCAACAAAGAGCCTGACTATAAATAACCTGGTAATACATAGTTTTTCAAAAATAATTTTATACTGCTGAGAAATTATTACCATTAATAGTACAGATGTCTAGTTTACCCTTGTAATGATTCTTATATCACCTTTGGTAATTTGCAAAATAAAAAAAAAATGTTTAATGAGTAGATTGTATAATAATTAATAACATGAACTCACTTGCAAAACAATACAAAGAAATATCAAAATAAAAAGTAATTTAATATTGTTCTATTAAAAGCATATTTTAAACCATCTTGTTTATATTTAATGCTCCAACTTTCTTTAACTTTGCCTGATTTTCCTCATTTGGATCTTATTTGATGGAAAGATAGCTGAATTTAGATTTCAGTAACAGCACCCCTTTCTTGATTCATTACCTTACAATTCACTATGCCTATGATTAATACAAAAATCCTCTTTAAAATAAAAAGGACCATGTTTTTGTGTCAATGCTGAGCAGAAGGTACATTTACAGTAGGTACTGTATTTGTAGGAGATACAACAGTCGATTCAATGCCTTTGGTCCTTTAATAGAGTATATTTTTAAATATGCCCATTGTTATCTCCTTGCAATCCCAAAATCATATTTCACCAATTCTCAAAAAGGTCATAACCACAGTTTTTATTTCGTGAAAATGCATCTGTATAAATGTGATTTACTGAAGATTTAATGAGCTATTTTCTATGATCTGAGATATACAACGATATGCTTTTTATTCGGTAGCCTATTATCTAAAACCGGCAAATTTTGGAATCACTCGATGTTCCTTATTATTTTTAATTGTGTCGTTTCTCCTAGTCCGGGGTCCGTCAACTCCCCTTCTGAGCCCCTTCTCCCCCCTCAAAAAAAAAAAAAAGACCAAGCCTGGCCTCAGTTCCCGTATTTCAAGCCAGGACCAACCAGAAACCAGTTTTCTTCCACTAATCCGGAACTCCGGGCTGTTACCAACGCTGTCATTGGCTAGCGTCAGTCCTTGGTACGTGCCCCAAGATAACCCCCTGGTTTCTCTCCCTTTTCCCCCTACAATGGGCCTTCCCTGATGTTTGTAACATTCATAATCCACAACAGGGCATCTCTAATAATCAACTCACATTCTTCAAAGTTTTGGGGTAGAAACAAGCGAGGCTGAAGGGAAGGCTAGGTACCCTTTTCTCCGACTCGCGGGGGAGGGGGAAGGGGCAGTCGTCCTTAGGCTAGGCAACAAGCTCTGGAGCGCCTAAGGATGAGGGGTCAGGGGAGGGTTGGGGGTACAAGGTGGGGAGGGAGTGGAGAAAGAGTTGGATTAAGTTGAAATGAAAACTTTACTCACCAGATCCTCGAAGCTTCTTCGGTGCTCTTTCCCCTCCCAGTCTAAGCGGCGCGGAATCAGCTGGGGGCCGGAGGAAAAGAAAGGGGGAGGGGGGGCAAACGATGAAGGCGAAGCCTCCACTCCCCATCAATTGGACCCAGCTCCTCGACCCTTGGTGTCTTTATTTCTCTTGTCCCAGTAGCTACTACCTCAAAGGTGGACGGGTGTGTGTGTGGAGGGGTGGGGGGAAGGCCGAGGGGTGGTATATCCTGTAAAACCGACTCCCAAAGACATAAAGAGGGGGCGAGTTAAGACCCCAACATCGGCCACCCCCTTTGAGAGAAGAAACCGGTTCACCCTTGTGATAACAGCTATGGGTGCCCATATAGAAGCCTCCCTGCTGGCGCCTGCCCTCCGCCTAGGACTTGCCCTCCCCTTCCTACAGTCTCACCCCAACCCTCCCCACCCCTTCCCGAAGGGGCTCCTTACCTGATGCTCCTCGAGCTCCTGCACTAGCACCTGAGCAAAAGGGAAACACGGATATGAGGAGCAGCTCAAATCACCAACCCATTCCTCCTTTTCCACTTAGAACCCAGCCACTGACGGTAGGACTAGTCAAGGCCGGCCTTTCCCTCACCCTCAACGCAACTGCTCTCACCCCGCTGCCTCAATTTCCCCCACAAGAACCATTCCCCACGACTCCCGGATCATCTTCTCCCTCTCACCTGAGCGGATTTGTTGCAGGGTCCGGACTGCAAGAACCTAGCGATCAGGTAATACAGCTCTGAGGAAGAGGGGGGGGAAAAGAGGTTGAGAGGAAGGTAAAGAAGAGAAATAGAAGCTTTTTCAAAAGAAACTGACAGCCAACGCGCTAAGCCCCCATCCCCTTAGCCTCTGGACACAGCTACCCACCGGCTTCGATCTGAGTAGGTGCCGCCGCCATCCTTTTCCCGAGGGGGTTTGGGGGGCTCGCTTCGGAGGGGTTGGCGGGGGCGGGTGGGGGCGCTGCCTCTATTGTGGTGAAGCCCCCATGCCCGGGAGTCCCGCCGCTTCCGCCGCACTCCTCGTCCCAGTTTCGGTCTCTCTCGAATTCATCGCATCACGTTTCGACCCATAGATATTCTAGCCCAAGAGCTGAGGAGGCGGAGGAGGAAGGAGAGGGAGAGAGAAGAGGAGGGAGGAGCCGAAGTCGCGGAGGGGTGGGCGGGGGCAAAGGGGGTGGAGAGAGGGGAGGGTAAAAACGTTGAAACAAGCCTGCAGCACTCGCTGGTCGCCGCCAGAGGCACTAACGCAAACGCCTGACTTTAGCTCTTCCAGAGGACTGAGGGTTGCCTAGCTACGGGCTCTAGAAAGGAGAAGGAGGTGCTAACTGACAACCGACGCTCTGGCAACCGCCGTAGAACTCTGTGGTGGCGTTGGCGTCCGCGAGCTCTGGACTCGCTTGCCATTCCTGTGAGGGCAGTTGGGCCCTTTCCGGCAGAGAATTCTTCCTGCTTGGGTGGTGAAGAACTTGTGGGGGGCTGCCTAGACTCAGTTGCCTTCATGGGGCACCTAAGCGGTTTTGTTTTTCTCCCTCCCCCACCAACAGGAGGCTAGCCCATAAGGGGCATTATGATTGAGAGAAGAAAACATGATTTTTGTACCAATTGAAAATGTTGTACTTACCGGTCCCAGTGTGGTGCTAAAATTGTTACAAGACTACTTAAAATGTCCCCCGATTCTGAAAAAGATTGCTTGAGAAATTTTCTGTCAGCCATGAAGCATTTTACCCCTTCTGAAAGTTTAACATAAGCTATATCTGTCCCATTCCTATTGGATAGTTTTTATCGTGTTTTCAAACATTATCCGACTACTTAAGGATTTTTTTTTTTTTTAAGTATGGCCTGGTTATGGAAATCTGTATATTCAAGGTAGTTTTCCACAGATTTGGGACTGCGTTTGTTATTTAATATGAAACCCCCACTCTTAGTACACACTGTCTTTTGATCAAAGTGTTTGTGTAATAATTGACACAGACAGTAAACTAGGTCTCTCTGTTCCTACTTATATCCTGTTCCCACCCCACCTTTAACATAATTAATAAAAGCTGAACCCGATGAGGCTAGAAATGTTGTTGAGTTGTGTATATTACGTTGAAATATCCAAATTTGAAATTTCACCTAAGTTTAGGGTGTTATTAGGAATTTGATTTCCTCACTTATAATTCAGGCATTGACCACAGTGGGTCTAGAATTCCATTAAATTGACGAGAACTTTATCCAAATTGACTAGCTTGCTCCTGTAAGTGCCTTCTCTCTCTCCCCTCCCTCTCCCCCTCCCTCTCCCCAGCTCCCTCCCTCTCCCCCCATCCACCCCGCCATTTTTTTCCTCAGCAATAAATATATGGTAATTTTAAATTGATGGATTTATCTTTGCTTTGCTATGGTACTTGACAAAACAAACACCATTAACAAAAAATTAGATAATGAAAAGATATAAGATCTAGACAAATCGTTACAAGTGATTTAGCAAAATACCTGAGTGAATAATTTTATCATTCAAGTATAATATTTTATCAAACCGCTACAATGTACTAAGTACTTTACATTCTTTTACCTCATTTAATCTTTACAGTGACCCTAGGAGTAGGTTAGAAAATTACTCTATTATACAGATAATAAAAATGACTTTATGACTTTGGACCCCTAACATTCTGTGAACCTTATTCCTCACCTGTGAAGTGTGAGTAATGAATAGTATTTTCCATGCTTCATAAGAATTTTTGTAAAAGTCATGTGAGAATATGTTTATGTTCAATTTCAAAATTTATGTGGCACTGTTGTTTCAACAATTACTTCTGTATAAGTAGAGAAAAGAGAGAAAAAGCATACAATAATTAGAACAGAAATTTAAGGTGAAGAATAATAACAGAAAATTTGAGTAAGGAGGTATTATCTAGTAAGGACTAAAAAGAACTCCAGAGAATATAGACTACAAGATATATAGTAGACATAGGAGATAAAATGGATATAGCCAGTACCACCTAGAACTTATATAGAACACCCTCCACCCCAGCTCTACAACCAGAGCTAAGCTTCAGATTTTGTTGAAGTTGCAGCTGACAGGCTTGCTCACCCAATGGCAGGAAAAATGCTGTGATGCCTTGCAGGCAGAAATTGCTAACACTCCAAACTCTGAAAATTACTGAAATTTGTCCCACTGGAACTTGCTAGAAACTCATCCTCTAGAATCAATCTTCTAGGGCTCCTGAGAAAGACATTCACAGGGAAGTCTCACCAGAGGCACTTTACTACAAAACCAACCAGAGAGAGGATACCAGGGGAAGTTGCTTGTTCCTGCTGAAACTGCATCACAGAAGCCAGACCAAAAAAAAAAAAAAAGAGGTTGTACATCTTTAAGGAGCAGACTATCCATTGAGCACAGAAGCAGAAAGCAAAATCTCCTGCACTATCTTTCCAGCATCTTTTACTGATAAAGTGTTGATGCCAGATAACAAAAGAAAAAAATATTTAAATGATCCAGATGCTTTATCACAGAGAAGTGAGGGTGAATTTGGAGATGATAAGCAACTAGTTGATGAAAATGGCACAAATTATATGCTGTTCTCTTGGCTGTAATGAAAAACATAAAGAAGTTATTGGAATGTGTATGTTCACTGAAAATGCATTTGTCTATTGTTCAGAATTAATGCTAATTAATTGGAGCTAATACTTTAAAGGTTTTATAACATTTTGAATCAATAGTTTTAACTGTGGGACCAAAGTTTTAATTGGGAAGAGAGTGAAAACTTCATAAAACTATAGCCAAAACATGGATTTACAAAGAAAATATTCTAGAATGTTTACTAGGTAGGTGTATTAGTTTCCTAGGGCTGCCATAAATCATTATGAACTGGATGGCTTCTAACAACAGAAATTTGTTCTCCCACAGTTGTGGAGGCCCAAAATCCAAAATAAGAGCCATGCTACCTCTGAAAGCTCTCAATGATAATCCATCTTTGACTCTTCCAGCTTCTGGTGACTCCTAGCAGTTGGCAGTTTTTATTGTTTCCTAATCTCAGCTTCTTTAAGAAAACTAAATTGTATAGAATAATTTAAAAACGCATACATTGTAATGTTAATATTTTAAACATACTTCTTAGGTTTAAAATGCTTAACAATAATAGGAAAAGGGGGACAAGGGAGTAGGACTGTTTAAAAGTAACATTTGTATAACTCATAAGAACTAAGTTAATGTGAGATTAAAGTATATTCTGAAAAGCTAAGAGTTATATAGTATGCACAAAAGCAACTACTAAAAAAAGCCCAGAAAATATAGTGAAACTATCATTATAAGTTGCACTGCAAAATACTTAATGCAAAAGAAAGCAAGAAAGGAGAAATAGAACAAAAATACATGAGATATACAGAAAACAGAATTGAAATGGGAAATGTAAACTCATCTATATTAATAGTAACATTACATGTGAGTGGAAACATACCACGTCCACCTGACAGCATGAGTTTTGTGGACAAGCTCGCAAATGAAATTGATGAAAATGAAAATACAAACAACCATCTAAAGTCTCTGGAAATTGTCCTAATGACATAAAGCAAATGAAAAAAATATTATTCAAGAAAATGTAAAATTCTTAAGAACTGATAAAGTCTGTGGTACTTGAACCAAGACTCAATCTGTCCCAAGCCTGCTCTCCCAAGCCCAGTGTAAAGGGAAATTTGGCTCCCAACCAAAATAGGCAAGAATGGAGGACACCTAATTCCCTGGTGGAGGGTAACTCCCTTCCTGGAAGGGGCAGGACAATAGCATTTCTAATGTTTCCCCTGATTCCTTGTTATTGAGGCTAAATGCTTCTCCAGTGTAGACACTAGGTGGTGGTTACCTTCTACTCAGCTGTATACATTGCACAAAACTACATGTTGGATGTGGCGCCACCGAGCCTCAAATGCCAGGGACTTTAATTGAAGAGCAATAGTCATGATAAAGAGAAGCAAGCCAAATGACCTAGGGCTACTTCCCACTTCCTCTTGCAAACAGGCATTTTTTAAAGTAGGAATATCAAAGAGAAATCAGCTGTGTCCCAGCCCATATTACCAGATTTGTGCCTCAGAGATTTTGCTCTAGGGAAAATGCAGACCTTAGAAGAGCAAGCTCCAAATTTGTGCTCAAAGGAAATGACTTTATTTGCAACCCAGTGTGGAGAAATTCAAGCCTATGAATGCTTTAGAAAACAAAGATGGTTGTGATAAAAGGCAGCTGGGAGGAAATTGATTGATTCATTGGAGTCTTAGGCTAAACTGTAGGCCAGCTAATTTGCTAGAAACAGAGGAAAAGGACACCTGGGAAGAGCCCTCCAGGAGCCAGACCAAATCTCAAAACATTGACCTAGAGAAATATCCTTTCAAAGGAACCCAAATTTGACTGGCTCTGTCTGAAGCAATTTATCCCCCAGGGCACTGTTGGAGACAATAGGGCAATCAATCAGCAGACAACTAGTGGTAGTGGGGTTTAAAAGCTGAAAATGGTCAGAGGAAAAAATCCCCCAAAACAAAGAGAGCCCTGACACAAACCAGTATGGTTCAAGGATGATTATGTGCATACTCAAGACTGCACCCACTGAGGAGCAACATCAGTGGCTTTACACAATGAATTAACAAGCACATAACAATAAAAAGACCAGGAGTAGCTGGAACTAGTACTTAAGGCTGCTACAATATATTTTCTAAAGTACCCAGTTTCCAATAAAAAATTATGAGACATGACAAGAAACAGGGAAGTATAAACCATATGCTAGAAACAAGCAAGGAGCAGAAACTGCCTGTGAAAATGAGCACATCAGATTTAATTAATTAAGTCTTCAAAGTAGCCATTATAAATGTGTTCCAAGAAATAAAGAAGACTGATTAAATAAAATAAAGGTGATGACAACTTCCACTAAAAAATGAATATAAAAAAAGGTAAAGGAAGGTGGGCGTAGAATCCCATCAGCTGGGGAGGCTGAGACAATCATGAGTTCAAAGCCAGCCTCAGCAAAAACGAAGTGCTAAGCAACTCAGTGATACTCCGTTTTTAAATAAAATACAAAATAGGGCTGGGGATGTGGCTCAGTGGCCAAGTTCCCCTGAGTTCAATCCCCAGTACCAAAAAAATAACAAAATATAAATAAAAAAATGGAAAGGCAGG